CATTATTATTCATCCCACAAAATGTTTAATATCTAAAAAAAAAACACTAAACTAATTGAGTTTATTTTTCCCAGGTTTTCAGATAAGACGTTTAGCCTTGATACCATTTGTCGTATGAATCACTAAAAAAAACATTTGAGTTACTCAGTTACAAACAGAATAGCTTAAAATCGTTTTGTGTCAGACCCACTGTCTTCCCAAATGAGCAAAGAGGTAAAAGATCATTCAGACCTTCGGTAATGGTACCAACATTCAAACTCTGGATATCAACTTCAAGGTCCATTCAAGAACCAGCCAGAAAACGGTGAATACGTTTTAAAAAAGAGGGAACAGTAGAGAGCAAAATTGGATCAGGAGCTCACAACAGGAAAAGGGATCATCATTTCAACTTATAGCTAAGGAGATCAATTAGAAAAGATCCAACTCAATCCATAAGACGTTTGGCACGTGAGAGAGCAGTGAAAAAAGATTGAAAATGAAATCGTATGTGAAACCTCTGCGGTACCTTGTTACTTCAGGACAGAAAGTTAGAAGGTTAGAGAGGGCTAAGATCTTCTTTAATGAGTTGGATAATGGTTCCGGAATAATATATAGATATTTTAACTTTATTTCAATCCTTCATGACCTTCCGATTCTTGTCATTTTCGTTTATGATCGATTTCATCACGATTCTTCTGTTAAGCTTGGAGAGTAATTATACAGTAGAGTGCAATAGTGTTATAAAAATCTCGGAGAATTCCGGTAAGATATCTTTAATCATTCGTAAGATACAACGGTTCAAATAGACAATTTTGCTGTGACACGCTTTGGACAATTTTCCTGTTACACACTGTATATCTCCTTTGAGTATTATTTTCTTGCACCATATGTTGAAATCGCAATCTATTACTCAAAATCCTTTATCGTCCATCCTATTTCCAGTCGCCCACCATTTTCTGCTCAGTTGCTCATCTCCTACCCAACATTTGAAATCGCCCACCGCTGGCTGATCTCGCCCAGATTAGGAAACCCTGGTCTACAGCAAATTTGGCTTGCTTTTCGAATCTAATATGGGTCTGATCTTGTAATAAAGAGAAACACTGAACTTACCACGCCTAGAAAGAAGCGTTTCAAAACTTAAGCAAAGTATTAAGAAACAGAAAAATCTCGTTCGAAACAAAGAAGAGAGTGAGTCAATCAAGTGACATACGTGATACACGCTTGGGTGATCATGTATCTTTCGATATATGATTGACGAGGCATTTTTCCCGAAATCGATTACTATTTCTTTCTGTGGTAGACTGACCAAGGCTAAAGAACCAATTCTGTCCTGCTATTCAACCCATAGGGAGAAGAAGAAATGGATCCATACCTTTCCCAAGGATATTTGTGCGTAAGTGAATCTAATGAACTTGACTGGAATTCGAAATCGGCTCTCCGAGTTCTAATTTGGAGACGATAACCATTTCACCGCAACGCAGAGAAAGTATTGAACATTTACGTAAGATCAATCCTCTTATATGGCAATAAAGCTGGACTATCTCCTCATGGATGAAGAAGTCTTGTGAATAAAAATGCGGTACTACAGGAGGATGCTGAGTATACCATGAACAAAGCACGTGAGCAAATATGAAGTTCTAGAGACAATGGAAACAAAAAGAAACCTTATACATCATATGAAGAATAGACAGTTGAAATTTCTAGGGTACATAGTGAGGAAAGAAGGCTTTGAAAATTTGATACTCACACGACAGATCGAAGGCAAAGGGGTAGAAGAAAACAACACATAACATACCTGGCGAAATTGAGTGGGCACCTCGAGGCGGTGTAATGGTTTGCAAGCTTGTCTTGCTAGAACGATTACGACTGAGTAGTGAGTTCGATCCTTACTGGGTGCCCCATACTTGGAAAATCTCTACCTGGTGAAATTGAGTAAATGGATGCCAGAGAAGGGTTTGGAAGCAATAACAAAAAGACAATATTAGCTGTAAAGGATGGAAAATTCTGTTATGCCATGATCACCAACGTCCCGAAGCGACACGGCACATAGAAGAAGAAAGAATATTGCGCCTGGAATACTACGAGATTGATTAAACAGAATGGTTTAAGCAAGAACAATAATTACTACTAATATCGCTGGATTATTAGGTTAGGCTCTTATAATAGCTGTAGGGCCGTCCATGGCGGTAAGATTCGAAAAGGAAAGATCAGACAGAACGCGGCCAACACCTGAAGACCCCAACGGTGGAAGAGGTAAAGATCTACACTATCTCAACGGCCAAACCGTCGGAAAAGGACAGTGCTAGTTGGGCCGGTGTAACCTAGGTGACCCTTGACAGACCAAACAACCAGGTTTACTGTCCCCTTTAAGTCTCGTGGCGGGAGGGCGATTCCTGCCAAGTGTATGAACTTCTCCGTCGCGCAAGTTGGCTACAAAATCTACTTCGTGCGAATGGCCTCGTCAAACTCTCCTTAAATGGCAGCTATCTCCATCACCACCAACAGAGAAGAGAATTTCGATCCCGATGCTCGGATGCAAGTTGGTGTGTGTGTGTGTTATAAAACATTTAATCATATGTTTTGTTTGATGATGTCATTTAAATATGTCGGAAATAAAATATCATTCGAGTTGTCATTATTATCACATCATTACGAGTCGAGATGAAAGCTGAAAAATAATTTTATTATGATTATCCGTTTTATATTTTGCAAGATCTTTCATAAGAAAAAAGAATTTCTTTGATGTTAATGGCCTCTGTGTCCATAGTTTCGAATAGGAATTCAAATACTCTTTAGAAAAAGAAGCCATTATGTAAAATGCCTATCAAGAGACTCTTTTAATCATTAGTATATATTTAACAAGTGAAGCAAAACAATTAATCTCTAACACCCGCCTGCTCATTTACTTACATCGATTTGCCGTAAATGGAAAACAAGTAAAAAATAATTGTCTGTATCTATTTTTTCTCCATCTCAAACTATTCATATCTATGCCTTTGTCTATTCATCATCTCAGCCAGTTAACATAGATCTTTCTTATTATATATTATCTATGACTAGCATCATGGCCCGGCGTTGCCCGGGCTTGATTCAAAAATCGTACGACTCATACAGCAATCGCTATCACTTGACTTAAAATATTTTTGCTCTTCCTTGCTTTTAAAGGAGTGCCCTTTGCCGTGATGAGGTTGCTACATACCTTACTTCTTGCCTATCTCATACTGCGAATTTTTTCTAAGCTCTATACTAAACATTAAATATGTTACGAAAAAAGAACTAAACAAAATGAACACAAAACGATCAGCTTTAAAAAAGGACTCGTAACTGGAAAAACCGAATGAAAAAAGAATGTTAACAACAAATAATTTTTCACACACAACCCAGTTCTGCGGAATCAGAATCAACGTTGAGTTTAAGCAAGCGAATGAGCCAATTGGAGTAAAGTGGCATGCAGATTTAAATTTTTCCCACTTGTGACGAATGCAGCTATCGATTTTTTTTTTTGCATGCTAGTTAACACTCGTGTACGTCAGCTGTTGGCTCTCACGCTGGCCAATAGAATCTTCCTGCCTATTCGTGGCAGCCAGCTATTGGCTCTCACTCTGGCCAGTACAAAATGGCCGCGAACTATATGAAAACTGCCGTAGAAGCATGAAAAAATCGGTTATTTCCACTATCGATGGGAGTTGGGAAATGCAAAGTCGGTCTTGGCCTTCCCACTAACTTGGATCATGTGCATGTAAATTTTGGTGCAAATCCGTCGAAAATGGCGGTCGTGCATTCGTTACACACACATACACACACACACACACACACACACACACACACACATCCTGCATTTTATAGCTAGAGATGGGACGAAGTGTAAAATTTATTAACAACACGTTTCACCAGTGCGTCTACTCTCTTTTGGCTTCCTCGGGTTAGAATGAAAGAAACACAAAAGTATGCGAGAGAGCATCTAACCATCTGTACGAACATATATATATATATATATATATATATATATATATATATATATATATATATATAGTCTGTTTATACGTTATTTTTATGGATTAAATAAGTTGTATCCATAAAAAATAAACGTATGTTTGTATATATATATATATATATATATATATATATATATATATAAACAAGAGGAAACTATTGCTAGCCAACTTTAGCAAGGCAAATGTAGCATTTATCTTGTTGCACGTGTTTATTCATTTATTTTATATATATATATATATATATATATATATATATATATATATATATATATATATATATATATTGTTTGAAAAATTACTATCTTACTTTTGATTTTGAATTATGGATCTTTGTGTCATCCACATATTTTGACTGGTTTTCCTCTCACCTGATGAATATTCATGAAACGTTCTCGAATTTAAAAGCCTTGATAAACCAATGACATCATTCCTCTTGTATATAAACACGAGCAACAAAATAAATCTTACATTTGCCTCGATAAAGTCTGTCAGAAGATGAATTCATTTTGTTCATTTCACACACACACACACACACACACACACACATACATATATATATATATATATATATATATATATATATATAAAATAAAAACGCTCTCTAGTTTCGGAGGAGTGATTAAAAATCCATCAACACCAAACGGCTCTGATCTAGAGAAAACTAACAAACAAATAATGGACGGTGTGAAACTTTCTTGTGTTCCGGACATTGGAGTTGATAAGATATCTAATCTAATTGAACTTATGATTACTACATATCCTTAGAGATCCGAAGCCATTTTCTCCCACACAGTTTTGCCTTTTTTGCATCCTAAACTGTGGAAGTCAAAGAGAGCAGATCCTCTGGCGTAACGCATCGTTAATAAATTTTTCACTATGTCCTTTCATCTCTTGTTTCGGTTACTATTTTACATTCTATTCTATAAACATGCATAGATTTTGTTTAATAATTACCAATAAGCATTTGATTTTTCAGATGAAGACTACATCCGGAAGCAGTTCCGTTGCGCTGACAGCGAGCAAGGAATGCGTGGAGTCCGCTGGGATGGCGCCCAAGTTCGACAGGTACGTAATCCATTTCGGGACTACAATTTACGAATAATGTATCATCCACGATCGAACTGATTCTGAAGATGGTTTACTGAAATCTTTGCAGGTCGCCGCCAGTGGAGAGAGCATGTATGACGACGCCTTCACTATTCACATGGTGGAAATGGAAAATGAGGACGAGTTTAATTTTGTAGCGGGAATGGTACCCTACCTGCTCAACCTCATCAAAGACGTAAGTATCACATTGAAACTGTTTTCCAATTATACGAGGAACTATGCAAAAGTTTCGAGCACTTGGAACCGATTAGTCAATCCGCTTATCTTTCAAGTGAAATTGCGTTTCTAGAGTTTTGCCTTCATCAGGATTTCTTCTGGAGCCAGATGACCACGAATCTTCATAGATGATTTCTCTTTAATATTTGATTCGTTTTTTGAAGGTTATTTAAAGCCAGAAAATATGTTTAGATTATAAGAATGTTTTTGAGATAATAATGGTTTAGTGATACAAGTCTTACTAATTAACCTATAGCTAGGGGCAAGAAGTGAATTCACTGCCTTTCTCAAGAATATTTAAGCGTGAGTGAATATAACGAACCCAACTGGAATTGAAAGCCAGTTCTCTGATGAAAATTCCGAAATATTATCGAGTACACCAGTCGCACATCCAATCTTACAATACCTGGCATTCCCAAGCCGTGTTAGAATTTTTGGGTACCCTGGTTAACCAATCGGAAAGCTCAAAATATTCAATCCGACGTGTATAAAAGCAGCCATTTTGTTTTTTCTCCAAAAATATCTTCACTGCCAACCTCTGATATCGAAGACCTAAAGAATTACTTAACAGCTGCTACTTTCTCCGAATATTCACTGCCAACCTCTGATATTGAATACATTACGTACTTCACTGGATTCTATATCCAGAGACTACGGCAAACATGGTCAACAAGCCGTCACCCATCTAGGTATTGACCAAACTGAACATTGCTTAACTTCAGTGATCGTGCAGGAACCGGTGCTTCAAGGTGATGTGGCCGAAAGACTCTCTTGAATATCTGTAAATCTGTAAAAGGAGAAATGTCCACTCAGTCTGTTTTTTTCACAAGAACTGCTACTTTATGAAACAGGCTCCCTCGTGGTTGCTTCCCTGGGCGCAATAATCTTAACCTCATCAAGTTATCACATTAACTTCACTTCAAACCACTTCCTCTTTAATTCATATCCTTTATTCCCCATAATCATTTCAATAGTATATCTCTACCTTGAGTGGCACTTGCGTCTTGTATTAGGAAAACTTTACTATTAAAAAAACTGTGCATTGCTATGATTGCTTCGTGGAAATATAATAGGTTAGTTTCAGTTTGCTTTATTCATAAATTTTTTTATTCATAACTGTCCTTCACGTCGTCTGATTAACAACCAAAATCAGTGACTCCCCCACCCCGTTATTTAACCCGTAGATGGTAGGCGAAGAGATGGGTTCATGCTTTTAACGAAAAGTGAACACGGAACCAGAAGTTTAACCTAACATGACGATTCCATTTTTACGATGTCAGCTGTTAATCCACGGCACCTCCATAATTTGGATTATCACATCTAATTAAAACCTTTCCATCGTAATCAATTGACTTTGTCATATATTGTCCAGGGAAGTAAAGGTTTATCCCCTGTTTCCTGTTTAGGTTTGGGTTTCCGGTTCCTTTTCATTCTCTCCATCCCAGTAGCTCCTTGTGTCTTAGTGGCATTATCATGAACTGATTACAAAAAAAGTGTCTTCTCCAAGAACGGTGTTTGACATTTGATCACTGTATCGACTTCCTAAATGTCAGGTGTATATTTGACCGAAAATGGATGACGCAGTGGGCGTAATCTGAAGAACATAAGATACGCATATGGCACTGTGTTGATGGTCAACTCAGAAAGAAAGCAACGGATTCTCCAAGACAGGGTGGTAGAAGAAAGCGAGGAAAAAAGGATTTACAATCAACTGCAAGAAGAGAGAAACCATGGTCAACGAAAAGAGAAAAAGCCCAAGATGCATGTTACGAATTGTAGATATAAACATCCAGCAGCTGCTGAAGTTTAATTATCTGGGAAATGTTTTAACAGAGAATGGAAAATGCGGTACCGAACTCCGAACACACATTGGCTTAACGAAAGAAGTATTCCAACAATTAAGAATGGAGGTGAGAAACGGAAGAATTCGTTCGAAACAAAGAAAAGAGTTCTTAATTACCATGTGATATCCATCCTTTTATATGGCAGTGAATGATGGACAATCTTCGTATGGATGAAGAAAAAACTAAGGACAGCAGAAATGTCCTTCTACAGAAGGATACTGCGAATCACATAGTCGGAGCGAGTAAGCAACAAGGACGTCTTAAAGAAAATGGCAACAGAAGAAATATTTATATACAGAATCAGGAAAAGACAGCTGAAATTGCTTAGACATGTAATGAGGAAGGAGAGCTTGGAAAACTTAACCCTCACGGGGCCATATTGAAGGTAAGAGCGATAGGGTAAGACAGCGACCACTTGTATGAATGGATAGCGAAAAGTAACACAAGGGGAGAATCAAGTGCCAAGAGCCACACTAGATAGAAAGTTGTGGAGAGCTATGATCGCATATGTCCTGAAAAAATAGGGCAAACAGAAGATGATATAGCGCTGAAACTTCAACCTCAATTTGAACACCGACTGCTTTAGGACAAGCGATTCCTTATTAATAACTAGTGAAACGTGCTCTGTGTTTCTAGCGTCAGACAATGTCCGCTGGCGTTTCGTCCAATCGATTATTGACAAAAATGTTTTTTATAGAAGCCATAATTCGAATATTATCAACACATATCGGTCATTGGTGAGTGGTGTGTTGTTTTCAAAGCATTTTCATGTCGAACGCGAGATTTCAAAACTTTTTTGTTCTGTAAACGGAAAAGAATGAATAATTCGAAATTGTTATCCATTATAATCGGAAGAAACGTGTGGTGGGAGTCTATGCGCGTACGCATTGTTACAGGCATAGATATACAGATAACATGATTAGAAAGAGATTGCTACATGATTATATATATATATATATATATATATATATATATATATATATATATATATATAGTTTAATTTATTCGAACAGTTCGATTATAGACAATGGACAACGTAGCCAGAAAGTACCTAGTCTCTAATAACATAAATAATAATCAAGATGAAAACAATACTTTGAATAAATTAAAACATATATGTTTTCTATTGATTGATTGATTCGTTTGGTTTTTACGGTTTATCAACCCATTTCATGTTATTTATCGTAAGAGATCGTAAGAATTTCGTTTTAAGATAACAACGATTTTCATGATACATGCCCTACTAATTAACCCATAGATGGGGGAGTAAGAGGTTGGTTGCGCGTAACGAATCCAACTGAAACTGGAACTCGGCTGTCCGATTAACAATTCCGAAACATTATCAATTACACCACCAACACACCTAAGCGGTGTTATCAATGATGTATGACCTAATTTCCGTGTCGTCCAATATAGACGACATTTTATTTATACAATCAGATCCTTTATCAGGTTTGGTTCTATAAATATCGTTCCTAAATTTTAACAATCTGGCCGTTTGAAAGTGATTCTGCTGCCATAGGAACACCCTGGAATCGATAGATGAAGTTACGAAGTCATGATGCAAGTTCATTTAGACGGGCTTTAAGATGGCTTACATTCTCAGCGGAAGTCGGCATATGTTTTACGAATTGGGAAAACAATAATTCAGCCACGCTAATGACTTCGATTCTATCGATCATCTTAGGGGTATACAAAAGTCCAAACTGTGGGACAGGGAAAACTTATCAGTTTCGGGCAAACTGTAATCAGATAAATTAATAATATATATATATATTTATATATATTATATACTATATATATTATATATTATTTACACATATATATTATATATATATATTATTTACACACATATATATATATATATATATATATATATATATATATATATATATAATATAAAAGGCTCAAACACTAATATTCCATGGTTACAATTTATTACATTGGAATCGTAATCACGATCCAAATCATTAAACCTATAAATTCAAAAAGAATATGTGTGTGTGTCTGTTGTTACAGAAACTCCAAACTTTATTTTAATTAGAAAATTAAGGTGTGCTAAATTCTTAGAATTAATTACTTAGTTACTAAGGAAATTATCACCTTTGGACAGATATCTAGAAAAACGGAATTTATCAAGAAAAGATCGTGTTGACCAGACAATGCCCGACAGTTATTTATACGGGATTCTTATGGAATTGACTAAGTCTGAGTAATACAAGATTTCATCTCTAAGAAATACTTTTTCAACATTAACTAAATTACAGTTCTTAATCCTAGAGATGCGCCTAGAAATATACTGAGGGATAACCTTAATCCGAGAAGGGGATTTCAGGAATTTAACTCTAAAACGAAAGGACCGTAATTTACCTCTCAAATGGAGTGTACTATTGAGGGTATTAATTATATTGTGGCTATATCGACCCCTAAAATATGTGAAAAGATTTTTAGTACCACATACACTAAATAGTATTCTTAAAACAGGGAAGGTTTTATTAATCAAAAAATCGTAAACAAAAGTATCGTCTCGATTAAAATTAGAAATTTTAAGGTATTTTTCGTCCGACTCTTCGTCAGGAGAAAAATCGTCGGCATTAAGAAAAGCCACTGAAGGGAACCAAACCTTCTTGCAATAGAATTAAGAGAAACAAGGGGGAGGGGAAAGAATAAAAAAAATTAAAATTGCCCAGAACAAGATAAAGTGTGCCAATTTATGATACAGCTCCCTCTGCCTGCATAAAGTCAGACGAGACGTGTTGATAACAACCGCCTCCAAGATGGTGTTTCGTCAGAGCCCTGTGCAGCAGAGAGAAGAATTCAGCTGAATAACTGGACGAAACTCAATAAATGCTTCCCGATGGCGGACTCATGCGCCTGTGAGTGCCCGGATGCTAACAGAGCATGTCTACGTATAAAGCCAGGCCCGTGCTGCGCAATCCACATCTCTAGCCGCTGGATAGTCCTACCCACATAGTTGGCCTCACACCGACACTTAAAACGATAAATAATGTTGATTGATGGGCAAGACATCCTTACCGACACGTGGGAAAGCACTTCTAGTAGCAAAGATGTTCAGTACTACTACAGAATTGAAGCAGTGCATTGGCAGTTGAGAAGATCTTATCAGCGTATGATTGACTATACGAACCAATCCAAGGTAATCTCATATAGACGGGACACTTAGGTGCACCAAATGTTTGAATTGCATTAAACTTAGAAATTTTAAGTTTAATGTTTGTTTTGATGACACCTTCTGGATAGCCGTTGGCGAGAAAGATATTAGTAACTTCCCTGAGGTCGGCATCAAGCTTACTCTCCGAACATATCATCAATGCACGATGAGTAAGTGTTGTAAAGTAGTTTTCACGGTGGAGGCTTGTATTTCACTAAGTCGTCCTAAATTAGGTTCGACGTACAAAAACGTTAGGAACTTGAAAATAATAGTTAATGACGCAGCAATCTATTTGGGGTGGTTGATACTTCAATGTCCGACATCAACTGACTCACTAAACTCCACTGAGCCCAACTGGTGACCGCTACTACTACTACTACTTATTATGTGTGGGAGAGCCTATTACAATAGAATAGGTAATGTCTAGTATAACAGTAAGTCACGGTGTAAGTAATGGATAGCGGCTCGAATTGAAGAATCGGAGAGCCGAGTTCGAATTCAGGTCGAATCCATAACGTTCACTTATACGCTAATACCCTTGGGAAAAGGTATGAATCCTTTTCTTCTCCCCCCCCCAAGCTATGAGTAAATAGCAGGACAGACCGGGTTCTATAGGCAACTGTCCTACCGCAGAAAGAAAAACGATGCGGGAAACATCTGCCTCGTCAGATCGAAAGATTGCCTAAGCGTTTATCACGCATGGCACGTAACTGGCTGAATTTTCCTAGACTTCGGAGATACAGCCCAATAAATGTGGGCTTCCTATAAACGTTAGTGAGAAAAGAAGCAGGAGTTCTTTCAAACAGCACGTTGAATGCCGTCGATGGTCATATTAGCCTAAAGTCACTAGTCATTGGGCGTATTGACCTTGTTTAAAACTGTTTATCACGCCAGATTATACGTTTTCTCCCAGAGACTGTAAATAACGTCCTCTAGTTCCTTGGATGTTCTAGAAGCACAGATGTTACCCCTAGCAGAAGGGTGTACTCAGAAATAAGCCGCCGGCCATTTATTTTACTTTGTAAACAGCAGAGCGTCTTTCTGTAGAGCAAGGGTTTATGAGATCCGAGACTGATTCTCACTGGGTGACTCGCATCTGTGGACTTGTGCCATTTAAAAAAAATATACTGACATTTCATTAGACAACATTAAATGAATCAAACCTGATATTTAATTTTTGAATAAGACTGACCGTCTACTTGAATGGGTACAATGACAGCATTATTTGAATTTGATTGAATAATATAACCTTCATCACATAAAAGACGAAAGAGTGGGTTGGCTGTCACGATATGACCAAAACAACAAACATAGAGATACTGGTTTAGAAAGTTGACAGAAACATGGCATTTAAACGTTGTTTCTGAAAATTTTTGATGTAATTAAACAAATTGTTTACATTAACATTAGAGTCTTTTTTTTTCTTTCTTAGTAAAAGATTTTATTTTCTTTCTTTCTTTCTTTCTTTCTTTCTTTCTTTCTTTCCACTTATTCTTCTTTCTTTCTTTCTTTCTTGCCACTTATTCTTCTTTCTTTCTTTCTTTCTTTCTTTCTTTCTTTCTTTCTTTCTTGCCACTTATTCTTCTTTCTTTCTTTCTTTCTTTCTTTCTTGCCACTTATTCTTCTTTCTTTCTTTCTTTCTTGCCACTTATTCTTCTTTCTTTCTTTCTTTCTTTCTTTCTTGCCACTTATTCTTCTTTCTTTCTTTCTTTCTTTCTTGCCACTTATTCTTCTTTCTTTCTTTCTTTCTTTCTTGCCACTTATTCTTCTTTCTTTCTTTCTTTAAGTTTTTCTTTTTTCTTTCTTTCTGAATATTTTTTCTTTCTGAAAGGTTTTCTTTCTTTCCATCTTTCTTTCTGAATTTTTTTTTTACTTTCATTCTTTCTGATTTTTTTCCTTTTTCTTTCTTTCTGAAAGTTTTTCTTAGTTTCTTTCTTTCTGCAAGTATTACATTGCTTCTTTCTTCCGTTCTGAATCATTTTCATTCTTTCCTGAGGTTTTTCTTTCTTTCTGAAAGATTTTCTTTTCTTTCTTTCTTTGTAGAGAAACGACGGGCATCTTCTGAATTCCAAAAAAACCCATGCCGTATTAACAGTAAGTAAAGCTAGATTTAATGTTATTCATAACGTTACATATTTTGCATCCATTTTCTTGCCTTACTTACGAAATGTACATCTCTCTTTTGGGACCAACGAAGTTTATATCTGCTAATTTTATTTTCGTACGAGAAATGGAAACATAATTTTTAAGCAAATGTGTCATTTTTTAATTCGATATCTCTTATCCCAATAAAATTTATATTTATTAAACGCGCCTATTTGAGTAGAAAACCCAATGTTTTAATCAGTAAAATCAATGTCTAGCGGTCTATGGATTAAAAGTCTCATAAAAAATCTGTCTCCTGAAAATAATTAAATTTTTAAATCCTTTTTTAATCACAGAAATGACTTTCGAGGCAAGCTCACCCTACCAGGAGAAACCGTCATAGATTTTTTTTTGTCCCACAATATTTCTTATTACTCTAAACGTTACATCCAGTGGGAACGCGTATTTCAGTAAACATCTTTGTCTTTTAAACAGTGAAATTAATGTCTGCATGTATATGGCGCAAAATGTCGGTTCCTTAAACTTGATTATTTGTTTAAAAATTACTTTGTTTAGGTTTCAGAAAGGACCCTAAAGTTAGCAGATATAAACTAAGGTCCCAACAAGAGGTGTGCATTTCGTAAAAAGTGTAATTGAGTTTTGCTGTAATAATTTTACGTGTCTTAATGGAAAAACACGCTTGGCCAAGAGCTTTTATCTAACCTTAACTCAGGTTTTCTAAAAAAAGAAGAGAGATGTTTTACAGTTCATAATAATTGCTAAATTTTAGCTATGCTTAACCCAAAATTATAACTGAAACGATTTTTTAAAATCAGTTTCATCCCAAGCAAGACAGTAAAGCCACTAAGACACAAGATTATGGCAGAATTATGAACAGAAACATTGATGATGAGCGGGAAGAGAAAAGAGTAATCAAGAGGACAATAGATAACGATTGACATTGCATTTAAATTTTTGCAGATTAAATTTGGCTGAAAAGCATGGAGGGGGAAAGGAGTTCTTCAAGCGAGAAGTGCGAGAAAAGAAACTGTTAGCATAGAACTTACGGCTACATCTTCGCCAGCTCAACTGTAAATTGATGAGACCACAACGCCTGTCTAGTACTGCGCTTAAATTCAAATGGCATGGTTACCATAGCGAAGAGCACATCCGAACAATTATCATGAAAGTATTTATAGAGAAGACAGATAGGTAACCTTACGGGCGTCGGAAAGTGACTGAAGCCGAGCCGCCAGATCAGGGCCAATAATATTGCTGATTCTTTTTGGGATTTTATCAAAGAACTCAAGATGAATAGCAGCGGCACCGGACCATAGGTGGCATTAATAGTCTAGGCATGGAAGAATAATAGATTTATAGATATGCATGATAGATTCTGGAGAGAAAAGTTGTCTCGCACGACAGAGTGAACCAATTTTCTTAGCAGCTGGCCTAGCAATGGATTCAATTTAATCTTTCTACTTCATGTCAGCTGAGAAATTAGCCAGAGAAAACGTAATGAATTGCTTTCCTGAAGGTTAGTATCAGCCATCTGAGAAGGGTCTCTCAAATGATTAATGGAGATAAGTTTAGTTTTAGAAGCGTTAATTCAAAAATTAAAAATTATAACGGAAATGAAATTTTGAGAAAAGTCAATTCATCTTAAAGCGGTAACTTGTTTAGAAGAACGTTTCAAACTAACCTACCAATGTGATTCACGATTACCTTCATTATAATTTTGATTAGTTTGAAGCAGAAAGAGCTGTTCAAAGTATCCACGAACGTTATTCCAAAAACCGTCGTGCGTCCACGTGCGTCCACGTGCGTCTACGAGCCCCAGAGATAAGATATAAAAGACAACTAGAAATCTCTAATAAAATCTATTTGATAAACTACTTGTGAGATAAAGCATTTCAAAATTAAGTGTTTACCTCATGTTGAAATATGCATATTAGAAAAGTTTGGTTCCAGCATTAGTTCACGCCCTCAATTAAGATTTCCTGATAGCCGTGATGTGAAGGACTATCGTGATGAAAATCTGTCGAGCAAATGAAGATGGTATGTGTTTGCGTGATCTCACATCATGCGTATTCTTTATAGTAACCTTTCTGGGGGTAAAGTTTATCGCATGAAATCAGCAACAATGGTTTAAATGAAAACAATGAACGGAAAGGCGCCCAGATACCAAAAGAAGTGATTTGTGCTGTGTTCGCATTCTTGGCATTGTTTGGACTAAAGAAGCCATCAGTTCAGTCACTTCGAATAAGTTAAAAGGCTTCAACTTTTGTCTTCTATAATATTCATTATAGGACTTCCATAGATCTTTTGGATTAATAAATATTCAAAGATTGTATCCATCTTTAAGTCAAAAATGTATATAAACAACAAATTATGAATAATAATAATAATAATAATAATAATAATAATAATTAGAAGAAGAAGATGAAAAAAACAAAGAAGAAGAAAACAGTGAAAAAGAAAAAAAGAAAAAGACGAAAAAAGACGATAAGGAAAAGGAAGAAAACAAAGAAAATGAAAAAGAAGAAAAAAAGAAAAGAAAAAGACGACGACGACGACGAAGAAGTAGAGGAAGAAAATAGAGGACAAAATAAAGAAGAAAAGGAAGAAGAAAACAAAGAAAAAGAAGAAGAAGAAAAGAAAAGGAAGGAGAAGAATATTGTAGTTATAAGCTATCCATAGAAGTGTACATGAATCAGCTTTGCAATTCATTTGATACACCCAGATAAATTTCGCCTTGACTTTGGGACAAATTATCCTTAATTTATGATATCACTGTTACCTAGGTTCAACAAAATTTTTGAAGGCTAATTGAAGAAAAAATAGGGCTTACAAAGTAGCATATAGCGTATAACATACATTTCATTCAATCTTGAATAAAAATCCTCTGGCTCGCAATAAAACCCAAATCAGTCAGTTAGAAAATACCAAGCGTACAAAGCCAAATGTTTAGTACTTATACCACTTTACGCTATAACTCAGCAAATGTGGAAAAATTATCTCACATTTCAATTAAGGAATGTAAATCTGAATAAAATAAGAGTAAATAATTTCGAAGTAATGTAGTTGTTGATTTTTTTAAAAAATAAACGAATGAAAAAAAAATTAGGTCCATAATTCATCGATTTTATTTTAATAAACTTCATTTTTTTTTTTTTTTGGAACAATAAATTGGGATAAAATCTCCTTGTTTTATATCACGTAAAACATATATCAAGAAATCCTCGCTCAAAAAAAGGTATTCCACCCACGTATAGAGTGATAGTTGGTGAGTTTCAAACATCAAATGATAGATGCAAAGCAGATATGCAAAGAACCAGTATATAAAAAAACAGGAATCTAAATCAGATAAATGGGTCATATTCTTAGATAAGTCTTGTAACCTAGAAAGGGTTACTGAATGAGGAATAACCAAAACGGAGGTTGGAAATGAAATGGTAATCTTTATAACACCAACAAAATATAATACTCGCCAGCGTCGTGAAGTAGGTAAACCACTGCTAGTAGTGGACTACTTAGCATATTACCGCCATATACAATAGTGTCCAACGTATTTATGAGGATTGGGACATACACATTAGTGTTCATAGGTACGGTATATAACAATAAGATATAAGGAATATTTTCGTATTTTCTATGGTTTTGAGGAGGGTCATTAACATTCAAATAGTTCTTCAAATATAAATCAGATAAAAGAAAACCAAGGACAAAAAAATATTTGCTGGATTTTTATTCGTTGCTAGCAGTGTATATTCTTTTTAATTTTATAATTATCAACAAAAATAGATTGATTTTTTGCCGCGTTAAACCTAACCATAAAACTAACTTTGACCATAAAATTAAATTATATACATAGTACTCAATGGTCAAGTTTACTTTTGTTTATTCTTTAATACGATAATAGTAGCAGCCACCGCAAAGTCAGCGTTATTTGTTACCTCCCTTTAGTAGTCTTTACTACATCATAAAGTCAGTTTATGAACCAGTAACAGACATTTACCAAACAATTTTTGTCTTCTTTTGAATATTGACTATACAGGTGGGTCGTGGAAAATTTTTTCCATGTTAAAATGGGCGGCGATGCCAAAAAGTTTGGAAGACCCTGTACTTTCTACTAGATGACTAAAACAACGTTTTACGCTAAGTTAACCTACCGGAAGTAGATGGGCTTCATCTGCAGAATATCCTTTACAGTTTTTTTTTATAAATCACTGCCACTAATAATAAAAGATATAAATATCATATAGGAATCATTAAGAAAGAAATAGAAGCCATAACGAAGAAAGTCAAACTTAACTGCAACGCTTTAATAGAAGCAGTAAGAAATAGATACAGCAACAAAGGTAGTCAAGTTTGACATCAAGGCTACTGCAGCAGAAGAAGAAGCAATAATATTATCGTTGATTCGTGAATTTAGTGGCACAGTAATTGTGAGTTCAATCCCTGGCACGGGCAGTGAACTTGGACTTGACAGAAACGGGGTTAGTAATAACTTAGCAGTATTAAATTAAGAGCTAGAAGGGAACGAGAACAATCTACGCACGTAGATTAAATAAAGAATTTGGTTAGAAATTCCTTGAAGGTTGCTCGGACGCAACAAGCGAAACTGCGATAACATAAAAAAGATGAAGTCATTAGTCTGACTTCAGCAACAGTAGTAAGAAATAGATACGGCAACAAAGGTAGTCAAGTTTGACAGCAAGGCTAACGTAAATAATAATTGATACTTTTTATTGATAAATCTTTTGAAACGGATGCTAACAATTGGTTGGTAGTTTTTGTTTAGCGGCATAACTATTTGTCTTATATTTGTTTTTAATGCTGCAATTTAGATATTTTGTAAGCAATTTTATTTTATTTATTTATTTATTGAGATAATAATGTTTATTACTGATACAAGTCTTACTAATTAATCCATATGTCGGGAATATTTGTGATATAAGTGAATACAACTGAGATTGAAGTTCAGCTGCTCGATTAACAACTCTGAGACATCACCACCCGCATATCTAAGCGCATGGTATTCCCAAGCGGTTACCATCTGGTTACCGGTGTTTCTTAACTTCGATGCACGTACAGGAGATGGTGTCTCAATGTGATGTAGCTGTAAGCCGTAACAGTTAGGTTTACGCGGATGCTTTAAAATTCAACTTAATCCTGAGGTTATAACACTAATTATAATAAAAAGGTAAATAAATAACTGTATTTATAAAGGTAAATATAAACATTTTAATTATTAAACTTCTGCTTACACTATATATATATATATATATATATATATATATATATATATATATATATATATATATATACAGGGGGCGATGGATAAATTGTCGTCTAAATGACGCCAAAATGAAAATAACACTAACATCTCATTTTAACAGATATACTTACTAAAATTACAGAAAAATATCTTGAAATACTAAAGAGTAAATTTATTCAATAAAATCGACATTGGCGTCAATGATTTGGAATCCCCTGAAACTCTTCTGAACATTCTCCTTATTTAAGTTGTTGAATGCTACCATTAATCTTTGGTGTTGCAAGGAATTTTGTTGGTATCTCGCTCAACTGTGCCCCACACATAATAATCAAGGACGTAGCAGTCTGGGGTGCTAGTTAGCTAGATGTAAGGGGTGATGTGGTCGCAGAAATTGTCCGACAGCCATGATTGAGTTCTCCTTCTTGTGCGTCATGGTGCAGGGTCCTGTTGCCGGATGTAGGTTCTTTCAGCTTTCTCCAAGAGCCCCAGAAGAGCCCAAAGAAAAATTAGAGCTCCCCATCGCCTGAACCCTTCTACCCTACAATGCGGTGTCTACGGTCGTCTCTTCATAAGGCTCATTTCACACAGAAGGAAATGTCGCTCAGCAACCCATTACTTGCCAACGTTTTTTGTCAACAACGACGCGAAAAAAAAGACTTAGATAACTCTATGTCTATTAACTGTTAGGTTCAGGACACAAGCTTGGGACAACAAATACGGACTAAACTCGCTAGCAATGACTGACAAGTCCAGATATTTAAGCGTATGCTTCCAGTTCATAAAATGGCGTTAAGACGTAAACATTTCAAAAACACCGAAACAACAGAAATCAAAATGAATCATACAGAAATCTGGAAAATTATACGTATATCTTATCTACTCTACTTACGTATGCGATGTCCTTTCAGAATGTAACCGATCATTAATCTCCATATCTTTCTATATTCGCTTTCTCTAAGCAATTTTTCTCTTTTTATCTTCCCTCTTTGTCTTTATTCTGCTATCTTTTCAAATAAAAGTCTTAAATGTATTATTCACCGTTTCCATTGGTTGTCATACCATCAATATGTCTTGTGAGTGTTAAATTTTGCAGATTCTAATTTTCCAAATTAATCAGCGTCCAGTATCGTTATTCATTGAACTATCATTAGTTTATATAGAAAGCCAGAATTATGGAGTACCCAGTGGGGATCAAATTCGCCTATATTACTATTTTAGGGGGGGTGTATTGCGAACGTTAGCGGCTCGTGTTCGAATTCCGGTCGAGTTCGTTACATTCGTTTATGCCCAAATACCCTTACGAAAAGTACAAATCCATCTATTCTCCCTCTAACTATGGGTTAAATATCAAGCCAGACTGGGTTTAATAGCTCCTGTTGGCAAACATTCTAAGAGAAAAAAACAATTTTTATCGAGGAGCATTCTGTAGAGTAATTTGAAAGATTATAAGGTTTGCAATTAACTGTGATGCTATGTCGTGGACGATGTTGTGGACTAGATGTTCTGAGATTAAATTAAAAATATTTTATCCCTACGCAAATGTTTTAACACGATTCGTATTTGGGATTTTATCAAATTATGAATGATTAATAAATAAAGCATACATTATTCAACGTCATAACAGAATAAGTAGAGGTCAATAAATAAGTAGACATTCGCGGATTTACTTATTTGGTGTTAAAACAAAATTGATTTCACACCTGCCTTCATGTTTCATACAGTTGGTTTTTTTTTTTGGTTTCTTTTAAAGAAATGGAAATTTTGTTTTGTTGAGTTTCATTAATTGTAAGCTTGCCACGTCATCATAGTGTCCCTTATGATATAATATGGATTTGTTTCAATTTTGCAGGCAATGGAAGAACTACGATTGTTTATGTTAGTGGCAGGAACCACAGACAAGAATCGACAGAAACTAATGCGGAATCTCAGGGTAAGTTCAAAGCTCTACGGTAGGCACTTTACTTACGTTTAGGAATACATTCATCTCTTTAATCTCGTTCCTAATATAACTATATGTACATTATGCCAGGTGCACTAGCAAAATTGTCCAGATCGTGTAATAGCACAATTGTAAATTAGATTAAACTTTGAATCGTTGTATCTTAGAAATGATTAAAGATATCTTACTGGAATTCTCCGAGGTTTTTATAACACTCTTGGGCTCTATTTTGAGTAATAAGAATGTATAATTACTTTCCAAGTTTAACAGAAGAATCGCGATGAAATCGATCATAAACGAAAATGACAAACCACTGCCTTGTGGAACTGACTCCCAAGAGGCTGCCCACCCCCGATCAGTACAATCCTAACCTGTTCAAGTCTAAGATTAACCGTTATCTTCCTCACATATCCGCATAAGCTGTAACTCTAAACTCTGTAGCCACCTAGCTCGAGTTGCCCCAGGGCTTTGTACCGGGTGGACACCATTGTAAAATAAAGAAAAGTGGAAACACGTGGACAGAGAGTGTATCGGTTGAAATAGCACGTAACTTACAAGATTATATTGGTTGAAATAAGAACATATTTCCAAGTGAGTTTCAGAAATATTGCACGTTTATTCTTCAACAATCAAAGACAAACATTGACAGAAGAAAGTCAAGTTAATTTGTAATTGCAGTTTGAAAGTTTTTTGTCTCCAATATTTGATCATTTGTCCTTCATTTGAGCTTTCGAAAATAAATCTGAAACTCACACTTGACTAGAATTAAATGAAGCCCATAACATTTGACGAAGTGTCCCTTAAGGAAAAACGTTCGGACTTATATTTTCTCTCAGTCCTTGATAAGAAGTGAACAAAAAAAAACTTTATACAAAATGATCATCACTGTCAAAATAAAACATGTTTCCTAACCTTTTGACCCCTGCATTCCTGAACAATTTTAACCATTCTGCCTGAGTTCCTGAGGCAAAATTCGCAGATAATTGGTATGTAATGTTTCACGGTAGATATAAAAATAGTTACAAGTGTTTACCCACCGTTCAACCTGTGGTTGGGCATTACGTCATTTTTCTTTACCACCGGTAAAGCGGTGGTCAGGACTTAAAATGTTAATGTGCTTTCATAGATTAGTCAGAAAATGTGTGCAATAATAGAGATCATATTACTGATCTCTCTTACTACAGGAGTAATGAATTGAGGGACTAGTTTCCTAACCAATGTTCCAAGGTGACGTATTCTGTCTAGCCTTACCCCATCCGAAGGGTGGGGGTCAATTTAACGTGAAATGTTCATACAGGTACGTAAGGGTCAAGAATAAAAAAATATTATCTCGGTTTCTCAATCACTGTCATATTAGCGTTGGTAACCACAAAACTTCCCCCTTTAGTGCGAAGAGGGAGGTGCTTGAAACTTCCCGAAAGCAAAAACACAACAGAAAGATGAGCAGAAAGTGTACCTTGATCACGTCTCAAAGGCCGAGTAAATATATTTATTCACCAAATAAATTGTTACTTATTATCTATTTACTCATCACCTTGAGGTGGTTGGAAGTGAGACTAGATCGGATTAATTACAGCAATAATATAAAAAAAAACGGTTTAACTAAAACAATAATGTTTCTATATTTGAAGTAATCCAGCCATAGAGCTGTGATTTCAAAACCAGGCCACAGAAGAGGTGCACAAAATCTTGGAGAATTTAGTTATTAAAAGGAAATAACTGAAACAAAGATATCCAGAGAGGGCATGGCACATGGAACTAAAACAATCTACCCCGGTGAACGAAATAAAGGGTTCGATTTGAAATTCCAACGTATATCATTTGAAGAAGTCTGGAGCGTACAACGGTCGAAACGTCGTGAATATGACAATAATGATGAGGGCAACAGTCCGAACAATGTAAATAATTACAATACCTCATCTTAGAAATATAGACAGGTGTTAATAGCGAGAAATGCAGTACTAATCAGTGGCTTGTATTTCTTTCAACATGAATAAAAATGAATAATAGACGACAGTTTCTTTGACCGAATTAAAGGCATTATCTGATTATTGATTTCATTCAGTCGACTTTTATTGCAGACGAGCAAAGGATACTGAGAATTTCATCAGTTTGTACGCAAAAAGGGAGTCTTTAAAGAAAATAACAACAAAAAGAACCATTATATTCATAATCAGGAAAAGACAGCTGAAATTCTTTGGACGCGTAATGACGAAGGGCATAGGACATTTAATCCTCACAGGGTATAATGAAGGCAAAAGAGATAGGGTAACGCGGTGAGCCACTTACCTGACGAGCTTCTGTTAATGGATGGCATAACGAGAGCCCTTATCAAAGGGACGAAAACTGCTAAGAGAGATACAAGATAGGAAGTTGTGGAGAACCATGATCACCTACGTCCTATGGAATGCGTCAGATGGAAGGAGATATAGCGCTTAAACTCACTTAAGCTAGCTTCAACCTTGATTTGAACTCCGACTGCTTTAGGACAACCGTGAATCGATGGCGGAGCAGGGTTGAGGGCCTTAGCAAAGGGATGAAACTGCTAAGGGCCACAAGAGATAGGAACTTGTGGAGAGCCATTATCGTCTACGTCCTATGGGATGCAGGACATGGAAGGAGATATAACGCTGAAACTCACTAGCTTTAACCTAGATATGAACGCTGACTGCTTTAGGACAAGCGTGAATGGAGCGGGGTCGAGGGCCTTAACAAAGGGTGGGATAAGGCTAAAAGCCACACGACATAGGAAGTCGTGGGGAGCCATGATCATCTATATCCTGGAATGATGCAGTACATAAGGAAAAGCAGGGCGCTTCAACGCACTGTAATCCTCAGTGGGTGTCCTATAATTTAGGCCTTGTGCCACATCTACACTTAGAAAATCACCAGGACAGAAAAGCGAATAAGATCTTTATTTGAGCCTCATATTTATAGATGTTTACCAGAAAGAAGTAAATTTAGTATCATTACGTAGCTCCAGGATAACTGACGAACAATTTGCTTATCGGGAAACTGATAGAGTCGACTCTACTTGTACTCAAACAAGGGCCACATCCCACACAGACAAATACGCTGGTGATGGTTCTAGCTGGAGCTCTGAGTATATTGTCTTCAAAATTCAGGAAATATTTATTTGGCTATCAAGTCAAAATAATCGTGAATAAAGGCGAGGTAAAAAGAGAGAAATGTGAAAAGACATCAAACGTATAATGGCTTACCTGTGTCGGTACTACAAAGAACGAAGCGCAAAACATAAAAGAACAGATTTAATTATTCTAGATAATTGGAAGATTGATTCCTGAAAAGAAGGTAACTTGAGAAAATGATGAGGATCGTCTGTTTAAACTTGAGAAAGTTCGTTTAGAACAAATCTAATTTACAACAGACATATGGCATCGTCTGCGGCGAATGTCTGTCCTAAATGGACATCTCAAAGACAAAACTTACGTTGGACGTTAAATAAACTCCTCCACTTCTGCCTCTCCTTTCACGTTCATTCCGCTCTGACAACAAACTCCAAAAAGAATTGGCAACATTGTGACGAATTACTCTTTGCATATGCGTAGTCGATTTATTCACCCTGAAACATTATTTGCTTTTCTCTTTCCCAGGATGAATTATTTTATCTTAAAATTCCTTGAAGAGATCAGTTTTTTTTTTTTGTTTTTTGTCTTGGTTTTATACTTTCACAGAAATATCCGGTTTAACAAAAGGAAATCAATGAAGAGACCATTTATGTCTGCTACTATAATTTACCTTTTACTATTTTATTTTTTGTTGCATCTGTGTGTACGTGTGTGTATTGATACACCTAAGGACTGCTGTCCAATTTTATTGACAAGAATATATATATATATATATATATATAAATCTATATATATATATACATATATGTGTGTGTGTGTGTGTGTATATATATATATATATTGTCATCCACAGACAGACTGTTTCGCAGTATCACAGCACTTCAGAGTGGCTAGACGTCCGATTGCTTTAAGTCGGGATCGAAATATCAATCAGATATGCTACACGAGAGAGAGAGAGAGAGAGAGAGAGAGAGAGAGAAACATTTTAACGTTTTCTACCCGAAATATGACAGTGGACAGGAGAGCCTAATTCAGTTGAAGAGCAATGTGTTAATAGCAGTAGGAGCCATTGTTTTTAAAATTACTCTTTTCTCAAGAGAGTTCAACCGGATTTCCCGGGAGCATATATATTGTCATCCACAGACAGGCTGTTTCGCTGTATCACAGCTTTTCAGTGTGGCTAGACGTTCGATTGCTTCATGCCGGGATCGAAACCCAATCGACTTGGCATTAGTCAGAGATCCTACTAAGCTATCGTCGCAAGGCAGAGAGAAAGGGATATTTTAACGTATTCTATGCGAAATATGCCAGTGGCTCGGAGAGCTCAATTCAGCTGAAGAGCAATGCGTATATATATATATATATATATATATATATATATATAATAAATGTATATATGAAAAAGTACAAAAGGTTTTCTTGTGATGCGTTTCGTCTTTTAGGAATTTATGGGACTAAATTTCTTATGTTGGTGCGACTATACATGCGCACGAACATAAAAAAATGTTCACTTCAGAATGCTACTCTGATCAAAGGAGAAAAGAATTCACTACGATGAAAATGTCTATTGAATGCCTTGATCGCAAGATCATCTACAGTAAATTTGCGCCATTTCACCATTCCTGATGAAACTTTATCGCAGTGTGGGATATCTACGAACAAGAGTGACGGAAAGAAAAGGAATCTAAATGAAATCGGCTATATTTTTTTTAATCGCTTTTGCGCATGTGTAGTCGCATCATAAATTTAGTCCTATGAACTCCCAAAGGATGAAACGCGTAACGAGAAAACTTTTTCTACTTTGTCATACAATTTTCCCCAATATTGTTCTTGATTTATGAATATATATATATATATATATATATATATATATATATATATATATATATATATATATATATATGTATATAAATAAAAGAAAAGAA